ATGCCATGAATCTATTTAGTCAAATGGATGAGTCAACTTCGCTCCAAAATCCAAGACCTCTTATCTTATACCTGATTGGTTCATCCATAGTTTCACTTTCGAGTTTAATAAACATGTAAAATAAAAGTAGTATAAATACATTATGAACCATTGTTTTCAAGAAGTGGTTTTGCCCCAACATCATCAGAAAGTTAATGAAAAACTAACAACTAATTTAAATAAAGCTATTCCCACTTGAATACAATTTCACTCAGATCTACCTATCTAACAAAGTTTGATACTAGAGCAAGTTATAATGCTTGTAATGGGCACGGATTAGCTCAAATACCCTAATGTTTTAAATAACGCAAAAGGAAGGGAGTTTATATATAGAAGACTCCTCTTGAAATGCATTTTTCTTCCGGCTATAGTTCATGAGCAATTAGAGACAATTCCATTATAGACTTTTACTTTCAGTCAACAAATCTCCATAAACTACTATGGAAAATCAGTAATTCTATGCCTCACATTATAGTTACAAGAAACACTATGTTCTCTAAGGAACTAAGTCTGGTATCTGAAATGCTAAGGATGATGAATTAGACCATGTGCTTAAATTACGGAACAAATGGGTTTAAAATACCTCTTGATTGAGCCACAAGAAGACAACAATGATTGACATGTAGAGAGAGAAAAGACATTGTAGTGGTTGACACTATGTTGAGCCCTCATAACTTATTATAGTTTTCGGACTGACTGATTTACTCGTCCTTTATAAGTCACTTTTTGATCTCGTCAATTATTCGCTTATTAACCTTGACTATTTTTGACTATTTATCTAACTCATCACATGTCTATAACTTATTTTTGTCTTACCATAAATATCGATTCGCGATTATCTCACACACCCTCTCCACCGCGCGTTATTTCGTCTCGCTCTCTTTGCTTTCTTCGCCTCGTTTCTCCAATCGTTTGTCTGGGTCATCCATTGCATGAAATGAACGTATTCGAAATTCATTCTCGTATTTGACTTATTTAGCGCGATTTAGGTTGATGATTATAGACGAGGATTGGAGACATGTACATTTTGCTAACAAGCAGTAAACGATCTACCTTGGACGACTCTGGATCGACACTTATTACTGCACATGATGGCTACCGATGGGATTGTGTCGAGGCTGATTTACGGTCGGGCAACGATTGGCTTTGAAAAGCTGTCCATGAACTTTTCCTCTGATTGTTGAAATCAGAATAACGGAAGATTATGAAGGATATAATTTAATATTAATAATTACGAATCACAATTAATCTCACAGAATAACGATGGTCTACAGAAATGATTATTTGTAGGAAAACTTTGTGGATTGTGACAATGGTAAACAATATTGTTATTTCTGATAAGTATATTCCTGTGGTACTTTGCTCCAACTACGACTTGCGTATGAACTCGTTAAAGAAACTCAATGTGAACGAATTAATCAAGATAGACAAAAAAGCGCCAAAAAGCCGAACTTTTGTACCTAGAAACAAGCATTATTAATTCTAATGATAAAACCGTATTACAAGCTTCGATACTATCGTTCTTTACTCCCAGTTAATTTCGTCCAATTTCCAGACCGATTCCGACATACAACGAATGCAAGTGACAGTGAGATACTAAAAGTCTAATACGGAGTGTGTTGAGAAAAGAAGCATTTCAGATAAACTGATTCGGCAGAGTACACATATAAAGTATGTGTGTATAGTGTATAGTGATTCGACAACCAATCGTAGTTAGTGGAGTCAGTCAGTCTGAGACAATGGATGGAAATATAAACAGATGTACATATATTTATATGTTTATGGGAAAAAGTGCACAATCATACGAATAACCACAAATTAATCATTAGGATTAAATGCCACATTTCACAGCCACAGAAGTACTTAATCTTACACAATTTGAAATAAGAAAAGCTGCGAGTAAGTGCATACCGTGAATGAATAATCGATTCATTTTAGAAATATAGTGAACCAGATATCAAAACAGCACTTGCAGACCTCCCCATAGCTATCAGTACAACAATGATCAAAGAAACCAGCATGGCGATCAAACGAATCAAGAGTGGGAGAGCAGTAGGACCTGAAAAATATCACCTGAAACATTGATGTCAGACACAGAGATAACTGCAAACATTCTCCACGTTCTATTCAGGAAGATTTAAGAGAAAGCACAAGTGCAGACAGACTGGAAAAAATTATACCTCATCAAGATATTGAAGAAATATCTTGGTAAGTATGAAAACTACAGACAGACCACACTACTACTACTTCCAGGAAATGTTTTTGACAATATTGTTGAACCGAATGAAAGGTCCAGTCAACGTTCAACTTCGAGATCAACAGACTGAATTCTGTCAAGATCGGTCGTATACGGGTCAAATAGCAATACTGTTGAACAATCAAATAAATGGAACTCATCACTGCTATATCCTATTGAAGATTAAATTACGAGTAACTCCTGAGGCCTATTAATGGACTAATATTTTCTATTTATTCCTATGGTATAATTATTCGGTAATTAGATTGTATATATTTGTGTTCATCTTATTATAAGCTACATTTTGACCAATAGGACGCTAGGCTGACCAGACTGGTCGGATGTCATTGGTTTAGAACAGTAAAGTAGCGAATAAGTCGTATTTTGATTGGTGAATAGATTACGTGATAACTAGCGGATCATAAAGTCACAACAATTGGCGACGGTGATTTTGGCGAATAAAAAAATTAATAATACAACAATTTGTGACGTAGATTTTGGAAAGAAATAAGCTATAATAATTGCCGGTGATCTTGGAGTTAATATTATTATTAGCAGTAAAAAAAGAACGGCAATTTCTTCAGAACAGTTGCAGTTATTATTACAGCACCAGCATCAAATGTTAGCTTCACAATAACAACTCTTAGAAGCACTTTCGGGTAAACGATCTATTCAACAAGATAACCCAGAATATAGAGGTATATAATCATATCTCAATCCAATTCCAGAATTGGCGAGACTCTAATTTAGGGACGAGCCAATCAGAAGCGTTTGAGCAATTTCAAGGTCACGGAGCCAAGTTCAACACGCGCTGCTAACATACGATCGGTTCACAGCGGATTTTAGAGAGTAGGTGATTAATGAGAGGTTACAACAGATAGGACGGCGAAACTCTATTTTAGGGACGAGCCAATGAGAAGCGTTTGAGCAATTTCAATTATTAGCCAATCAGAAGACAGTATAAAGTAAAAATATATTACAAGAAAGTAATGAATTACAGTGGATATTCTTCTTTTACATGATTTAAAAACCTGTTGAGGTTTGATAAAGACTCAGAAGTTCTGAATTCATAATGCATATTGTATAGAAACTCGTCCATAGGGTTAGGGCTTGGGGTTAAAATTAGGGTTAAGGGTTAGGTTAAGGTTAGGGTTAGATTGGGATTTAGGGTTAGGTTAAGGTTAGGGTTAGATTAGGGCTTAGGGTTAGGTTAAGGTTAGGGTTAGATTAGGGTTTAGGGTTTGGTTAAGGTTAGTTAGGGTTAGGGTTAGGTTAAGGTTAGGGTTAGGTTAGGATTAGGGTGCTAACATGCGATCGGTTTACATCGGATTTTAGAGATGTGTCTACTTACAGGCTACAACCCTAATCACTAACCCTATGGACGAGTTTCTATACAATATGCATTATGAATCCAGAGCCTCTGAACCTTTATCAAACCTTAACAAGTTTTTAAATCATGTAGAAGAAGAATATCCACTGTAATTCATTACTTACTTACAATATATTCTCACTTTATACTAACTGTCTTCTGATTGGCTGATAATTGTCAAGGTCACTTAAAATTCGTTCAAAGGTCGTCCTTAAATTAGTCTCGCCCCAGAATTTATTTTTGATGCAGACAGTGGTCACACTTTTGAAGCATGGTTCGGCAGAGTAGAAGATATTTCCCGAGTGGAATTTGCTGCTATGGATGACACAAAGTAAATCCGGCTGCTCTTACAGAAGCTTGGTCCTAACGAGCATCAAAAGTATAAAAACCATATTCTGCCTAAACATCCATGAAATGTTAACTTCATTGAGACTGTCAACATCATAAATAAAATGTTCTATGAACAGACGTCCTTATTTCGTAACCGGTATAACTGTCTACGGATGACTAAAGAAGCTGATGAAAACTACACTACGTACGCCGGAAGAGTAAATTTACAAGCAGAACGATTTAAATTAAATTTATTAACCAGTGATCAATGTAAATGCTTATTATTCATTTCTGGTCTGAACTCCCTGTTGATGCTGACTTTCTCATGAAGTTGTTATCCCTTATGGATCATGATGAGGAAATGACGTCACAGACTTTTACCGCTGAATGCCAACGATTAATAAACTTGAAACAGGATACAGCTATGTTGGAAACCAAAAGTGTGGTACCATCTAATCGTTCTATTCATGCTGTTGAGACAGTTCAAGACAAAATAGTACCAAAAGTTATAGATATCACTAGAAAATTCCTATACCTTCAACTAAATGTTGGTATTGTGGTGAATAGCACTTCTCAAAAGTCTGCCGGTTTAGAGATCATAGATGTACTATATGCGAGAAAGTCAGTCATCAAGAAACAGTCTGATGAATTAGAAAGAGCTCGAGATCGAAGCCAACAAAGCGTCTTCACCAGTATCAAAACAAGTATATAAATGGTATATATGCTACATTGGCTCTAACCATAGCAGATAAACGAAGGTATGTGGAATTAATGGTAAATGGTGTTCATATTCAATTGCAACTGGATACAGCATCAGGGGAAATTTTGGGGAAAAACGCAAAATTTTCCTAAAACTGTGTAAAATTTTGGGGTTTTATTGATAAATATAAGCCCACTTCCCCAAAGTGTTATAAGATTCTGGGGAAATTTTGGGGTTTTTGTGTCATTTCCCAAAGCCCAAGCAACACAAAAAGGGGAAATAAAGGGGAAAAAAGGGGAAATAAAGCGGACGAAAGGGGAAATAAAGGGGAAATGTCGCTTTTCCGCCTTAACGTCGGTTATTTAGGGGAAATGTCGCTTTTTCCCCCTGACGTCGTGTATTTGGGGGAAATTTGTCGACAGTTCTACGTAACGTACAGTGTTTGAATGAACCGCATCTGGAACTGAATTTTTCATAAACTTCGACAAATTTATTCACCGCCAATTAAAAAAACCAAAGTATTTTCCTAAAAACAATGTACAAAATACGGAACCAGGCTTTCGGTTGATACGCATATACAGTGACTTCGTTTGTTGTTTAGTTAAAGTGTTCCGACATGCTTTGGAGCCATCACAAAAAACTTACGTGATGCAGGTGAGTGACGTGCTCTCAGGACTTTAGGTTCATTGTGACTGATTACCTTCTTAGGCCAATAATAAGACTTTTTCTGATATCAGTGAGAATGTTCGTAGACGTAGGGCAACTGTGAACTTGTCACGTTCCCTTGGTTGTCACAGAACCACTTATAATCGGAGGTGGAATAAAATGAGAGCTGCTTTCATGAAAAAATATCACTTTCCTTCGGTCAGTGAGTTTGCAAATGAAAGCACCGTAAAAGGTAACTGAGTTTAACAATGTTGTTTACTTAATTGATAGAAGTAAAGAGAGAAGTCAGTTGTAATGAAAGTACTTCGATTAGTACACCGTCCACTAGCAACATCAATCAAAGGCTTCCAGCTAATAGTGGTATGAACATTAAATTTGTACGTGAATATATATCTTATAGGATGTACTGAAGTGAACTTGTGCTCTACAAAGTTGGTGAATCGCAAAGAACAGATGAACGACTTTATGATGTATCTAATGTCAAATACATCACTGAGCATAAAAGATGCTGATCGGGTTCTGTATGGTCTAAGATTTCTTATCCCGGACATACCGAAAAGCATCAGAGGCGTTTTGAAGACATGTCCAAGTGTTCAACCCAAGTTCATCGGCAGTGGGGTTTACTACCATCTAGGATTGAAAACCAATCTGCTAAGATACGTTGAGCTTTGGTTGTGTACTATTGATTTTGACTCTTTAAAGTTATATGTCAATATAGATGGACTTTCTATGTCTAGAAGCTCCAATCAACAGTTATGGCCTATACTTGGACGGATCATTGCCCCTCGGCTTAGTGACGTGTTCATGATAGGGATCTACGGAGGGAATAGTAAGCCGGCAGAATTCAACGAATTTTCTGCGGACACAATTTCTGAAATAAAAGAAATGACTGACGTGGGTCTTTTTAGTGTTAAGTTTAATAAATGTATAGCTATTAGGTTGGCGGCTGTTATATGTGACGCACCTGCTCGTTCTTCTGTTAGGTACACGGTGAATCATAACGGTAAGGCAGGTTGCGATAGGTGTACTGTTCCTGGGAGACGACTGGAGGGTAAGATGACCTTTCCAAATGGGGTATATACTGTAAGAACAGACGACACCTTCCGTCGTCAGACTCAGCCAACTCACCATCAAGGACATTCTATAATGGAAACGCTTTCTATTAATATGATTGTAACTTTTCCTCTAGATCCTATGCACATGGTGTACCTTGGTGTTACCAAAAAACTAGCTAATTTATGGATAGATTTAGCACGCCGAAGACTGCGGAACTTTAACTCATGTGCAATTCGGGACATAAATAATTTAATATCTGGTTGTGTGGCAAGTACTCCTTCTGACTTTCCCCGTAAATGCCGCACACTAGACTTTGTATCGGCATGGAAAGCTTCTGAATGTAGATTGTTCCTTCTGTATTTAGGCCCGGTGATTCTTGAAAAAACATTGCCACAACCTTTTTATCTTAATTTTCGGCGTTTAGCGTTATCCATGTATCTGCTTGCACATCCACAATTACATAAAAGTGTTGTAGAAACCGCCAAAATAGATTTAGTAAACTTCCTGAATGAATACGAATGGTGTTATGGGTGTGAAAACTTAGTCTACAATGTGCATTCGTTACAGCACCTCCCTGACGACGTTCGTGCACATGGACCTTTAGATAGTTTTTCAGCCTTTCCATTCGAGTCTTATATGAGAAAAATTAAGGATTCCGTGCGTAGTGGGTTTGCAGTAGCTAAGCAAGCAGCACAGCGTTATGCTGAGAGAATGTCCTTCAGCGATAGGCTTCAAATTAGTGGTTTAACAAATACTACCGCAATAGGCCATAATGATGTCTCCACTAAACAAGTAATTATGTTTAACAACAGTAAAATAACTTCATGCCAGCCTGATAATGTAGTAGTAGTTAACGGCCAGCCAGGTTTAGTCACTGATATAAAGGAGGATGGACTACTAAAATTTAGGACTTTCACTGACCCACGCAATTACTTTGAAGATCCTTTCCCATCTAGTGATATTGGAATCTTTATGTGCTCCGTAGTTAGCCACGAATACTCCTGGGTATCGGTTCAGGACATTGATTGTAAATGTATAGCCATAAATTGTATCAATTATATAGTTGTAATCCCATTGTTGCATACTTTATTGTAAATGCATTTTGTTTCATTAGTGTTTAAGTAATGATGATAAATCATTTACTTACGTCTTATGTTCTTTTCAGCCCACTAACAAGAAATACGTTATTGTTGACGTCCTACAGGAAAAACAACTTATGATAGCATCAAAGGACTGGATAGTTGGCAATGACCTTTGCCTTCTTCCGAACGAGCTGGTCGATATACACCTGCAGAAGTGCGACCAACCGAATGAAAATTGGTCGCTTATGAAATGTAAAGTGATTCACGAATTAGGTAGGCTACATACACAGAAAGTATAATTCACTATAGATTCTCTGCAGTCAGCAAAAGACCTGTTAGTTGCCCTACAGGTACTGGAATGTCAACGGAAAAACACCTCTACGGATGAAAACACTTTGCCACTGAACACTGAGAAGCCAAAGAGGTCTGTACAATAATCTTACTTACATTTCCTAGAGGTTTAATGAAGCGTAAAGAAGATTTTCTTTACAATTCAGTTGACATGGATGTGGCTGAAATGCAGGCTGGGAATAGCCGCGTACAATATCCAAAATTCCGTGTTTTCGACAAAGTGATATCGCCAATCGCCAAGTACGTTTAATTACTATTTAGATATTCACTATTTAGTTCAACACAATTAGAGATATCACCATCCACATCGCAATGTAAGCCTGTTGGTGGCACTGTATTGGACCAGTAAGTAACCTACATCATCTAGTTACCTTTTTCACCTGTGATAGATTGTATACTGTGGTGCTGAAGATGTCGTCAGCTATCAATGACTTGACTAAAACGATTAACAACATGTCGTCCGCCATTATGGACTTGAATGTTAATGTTAACCAATTGCTTTCAAAGTCTAATGAGCGCGAAAGACCGCATCAATTCGATTGCGGACTGTCAAGTCAGCAGTTCCCTTTGTCATCTGAAGAGGAACTACAGATGCTAGATACTGGTTTGTCGCAGAAAGAAACCAGGGACAGATTTGTAAGTCATTTACATGAATTGAATAATTTGTTACTATTACAGATGGCAATGGTCACTAGGTTATCAGGTGACGATCCAAAACGTCCATGCGTTTTATTCTGTCGCATCTGCTGACACCGGAGGTTGCCAGTAAATTCACGTTACTTGGCACCTCTTCAAAACGAGCACTACAGAAATGCACGTTTTACAGCTGCATACGAAGTAACCTATATCTATTACTTAAACTTCAGGTGCCTTAACTAGTTTACTATGGCGGCTTCCCAAAATTGGGAGATTGGGCAGTCACGCTAATAGACATAATAATAATGTCTTTCAATCGGCAGGTCACATGCAACAATAACGTCCAAACAAATTTTTGGTTTGATTTATACCGTCTTAATATGTAGTTAGATCACAACAAAGACCACGAAACACCTTGATAGTACGGCCCTCACTATGCAGTCAAAATTCTAGTTGCCGCATAATAACGTACTGTGCAGATAAATGCTACCTTTCAACAACTGAGAATTTCTAGCTGAATGGAATCAACTTTCTATCTTCAAGAATCAAACCAAGTACAAAACGTCCGCAGCAACTACAATTAACCGATCCATACCGTAACCTTGACTTAAGTCAAACAAGACCTTGTTGTAGGTGGTCTGGCACTTTCCGACAACAAAATGAAGTGATAAAGATGTATTTTACACAAAGTTAAATAATAAAGCTTTGGTCAAGGAAGAATGAGTAATATGAAAATATGCCCACACAAATATTTAATAAAAGTTGACTCATATAATACGGAATTAAGTTCAAGAAATGTCATATAAGATACTTTTTAGAAATTTTCAGGGCATTTGTTTTGTCACAGTCAGTAGCGGTCCTCCTCACACTACTTTGGTTTGAAAGCCCATGACGGTAAGTTCTTGGCTGGTAGTTTCGTCTAGTTTAGTTCAGATGTCTTTAAACTTGATTAATCTACCAAATAATGATTCATTATTCTCTCAGTTGCTTCACAGTTAGGTATGAGCCGAATCTAAAGGTTAGGCTGGGAAATGTTTTATTGAAACAGGTGCTTTGGAGTAAATAAACCTCCAGAATCATCGTTGACCTGTTGATTTTACTGGACTCACTCTTGTCTAAAGGCTATCTGTCAATCATCCTTACTCAATCATGTTTGCGTGTGTGTGTTGAGCATTTCTTAGGATCACTAGTTTCCTACCCAACATATACGCCCTTATATTTTTTTAATTTGGTGGCCTTGAGATCGTTATGAAAGAGGAAATTTCGAACAGTATAGTTTCAAAACCCCGTATAACCGTGGCCCTCACCAAGAGTATTGCTATGAGCTACTTGGAAGACTAGCTGCTTGCAATATTCGTGAGCAGTACCAATTCGAGTGGTACCTATCCAGGTATTCTGCGAATGATAGAATAGCCCCTCACATGTAAATTCTGTGAATTAAATATGCCCAAATACCTTATTCTGCGTGGACAGATATGTGTGCGGTACAATCAATAAGTCTGTGTACTATTGTGTGTGTTAAATTCCAGTGATGACTTCCTGTTGACAAATTTAACACATATTGATTGCCTATTTCAAATATACAATAGTCTAGGCCCGCCGTCATCAGTGAGAACAAAGGAGATCGCACACATTGTTAACCTTCCTGACAGGGATTTAGCTTTCCAGCGATTAACGTCTTTTTGCGTTACCACTCAATGTGAGCAGTTAGCTACTGTTTATATCCAAATACATACTAACAATTCTTTCGATCGTATCTTTTTCTAGAACAATCGTGTTGAATCTCACAACTGACTCCTCGTGAACCGTACGCATATGTTCTGCTTTACTTTTGTGTCTTCGGTTTCCAACACATTGCTTAATAAACACAGGAACACAAAACATGATATTCGCTCCTTGACGTATTGGTTTAACGGAGGATTTTATGTGTTCAGTGCAACAGCTGAAATTGGGTGGTTAATATTTAGCAGAGAACCTTCTACTGGGACTAAAACATTGCAGCTACGGCATTCATTTACATCCGTATTTTGTATGTGAGTTATGTTCATTAATATTCCATAGCAAATGTTGAAAGGTTTGTGTGTTTAGATTGGAACCTCACGCTCTAACTGTTTCACTGAATCGCTTCACGGACTGTCTAATCAAGGGTAAATAACATTCCAAAAAGTGCCAAGCCCGACGTAGTTTGAATTATCTAGTACTAGCACAATCCGTAACAAATATCTCACCGCTATTTGCATTTTACATCATAACTTTTAATTTCGCTACGATTTCGACTATCCCATGAGGTATTGTTCACGATGTGTACTTCCAACCTATTCTTAATAATACGAACGATTACTTTGGTAAGGTTTCATTTATTTTTTATGATCTTACGAGATGTCACACTACATAAACAACATGATAGGTTGTTTAAGTATAGATACCTATCAGTTAGTGACTTCGAAGCAAACTAAGAAGCTGTTAGGCTTTGAGGCGGTAAGTTACTCGAAGGCTAGAAACGTATAAATTACTATAAACTATTATTGTGAATGTCAGTGTACCGATTTTTCGACATTTATTATATCTTAGCCCTGAACTCTGTTTGCTTTGGTTTCTATTTTGCTTTAATTAGATGTTTTGGATCTTTGGCTTTGGCAACCCAAAATGAAAGATTTATCCCTGAATCTGTTGTTGGAATTATTGTTCAGGACAGAGCACCCCGAATTTGCAAATGAATCTGATTGTTTAGAACTTGGAACATTGTTTTTTGTCGTTTGGTCGAAGGTTGGGAAATCGTCAATAAACTGTTCTTCATAAAAAGACTGAGTAGGAATTACGGATTCAACACTATGGTCACTATTTGTTAACTTGTCTGTGCCAGCAGACTGACAAACTTCTTATATAGTAGTTGTGATGTAACCCCCTAAACTATACAATCCTACGACAGTCAGGTCATTATCAATACTGGCTCTCACTTTACTGACATACAGAGGTAATTTTCATAGAAACCTTTAAAAAACATGCTGAAGTTTATCGACAGAAAAATATGTACTCACTATAAAGAGGATAAAGTCACATTGACAACGTTCGCATGTCGAAGCTATGTCGCGTCGATAATCTTCCCAAGTCAGCCTTGTCACCTCAACTACAGCGTCCAAACTTCATCCAGATAACGCGGAAACAGACCATCTTGATGGCTGACTTGTGATGATAATTCAGTGTTGTTCCTACGAAGGGGTGCCATTGTTGTCTAAATCTAATAGACCCGTCATCCACATTTGTGATCTAAACATGTTTTCGAGCTTCCACTAACTCACAAAGCGAGGAAGCTGAATGAACATTTACTTACTTACTTACTTACGCCTGTTACTCCCAATGGAGCATAGGCCGCTGACCAGCATTCTCCAACCCACTCTGTCCTCAGCCTTCTTTTCTAGTTCCATCCAATTCTTGTTCATTTTTATCATGTCTATCTCCATTTCTCGGCGTAATGTGTTCTGTGGTCTTCCTCTTTTCCTTTGGCCTTCAGGATTCCATGTGAGGGCTTGTCTTGTGACGCAGTTCGGCGCTTTCCTCAATGTGTGTCCTATCCACTCCCAGCGCTTCTTCCTGATTTCTTCCTCCGCTGGGATCTGGTTTGTTCTCTCCCACAGTACGTTGTTGCTAATAGTGCCCGGCCAACGGATCTGAAGTATTTTGCGTAGACAACTGTTAATAAACACCTGTATTTTCTGGATGATGGCTTTCGTAGTTCTCCAGGTTTCTGCCCCATACAGTAGAACTGTCTTGACATTTGTATTGAAAATCCTGACCTTGGTGTTGGTTGACAGTTGCTTTGAGTTCCAGATGTTCCTCAGTTGTAAATATGCTGCTCTTGCTTTGCCGATCCGCGCCTTCACATCTGCATCAGATCCACCCTGTTCATCAATGATGCTGCCCAAATATGTAAAGGTTTTTACATCTTCCAAATCTTCTCCGTCAATTGTGATTGGATTGGTGCATTCTGTGTTGTATCGGAGAATCCTGCTTTTCCCTTTGTGTATATTGAGACCTACTGCTGCTGAGGCTGCTGCCACACTGGTCGTCTTCTCCTGCATCTGTTGTTGCGTTTGGGATAGAAGGGCCAGATCATCTGCGAAGTCTAGATCGTCCAACTGCATCCTAGATGTCCATTGTATCCCGTGCTTCCCTTCAGACGTTGACGTCTTCATGATCCAGTCGATCACCAGGAGAAAGAGAAAGGGTGAGAGTAAGCAACCTTGCCTGACACCGGTCTTCACTTCGAACGACTTTGTCAACTGTCCTCCATGCACAATTTTGCAGTTTAATCCATCATATGAATTCTGTATGATATTGACTATCTTCTGAGGCACGCCGTAGTGTCGAAGAAGTTTCCATAGTGTTGTTCTGTCCACGCTATCAAATGCCTTTTCGTAGTCAATGAAGTTGATGTAGAGTGATGAATTCCATTCAATTGATTGTTCCACAATGATCCGTAGAGTTGCGATTTGGTCTGTACACGATCTATCCTTACGGAATCCTGCCTGTTGGTCACGAAGTTGGGCGTCTACGCAGTCCTTCATCCTGTTTAACAATACCCTGTTGAAGACTTTTCCCGGTATTGAGAGAAGAGTGATGCCCCTGTAGTTATCACACTTGCTGAGATCGCCTTTCTTCGGTATTTTGATCAGAAGTCCTTCTTTCCAGTCTTTGGTACTTGTTCCTCATCCCAAATCTTATTGAAGAGAATGTGGAGTATCCTTGCAGTTGCCGCTACGTCTGCTTTTAGTGCCTCTGCTGGATGTTGTCCGGTCCTGCTGCTTTGCCACTCTTGATTTGTCTGATGGCCATGCTGATTTCTTCAATTGTTGGTGGGCCAACATTGATTGGGAGGTCCGTGGGTGCTGCTTCGATGTTGGGTGGGTTCAGTGGAGCTGGTCGATTCAAGAGTTCTTTGAAGTGTTCTACCCACCTGTTTTGTTGCTCTTCAATGTTGGTGATTACCTCGCCTTCCTTGCTTTTCACTGGTCGTTCTGGTTTGCGGCGATTTCCAGAGAGTTTCTTTGTCGTGTCATACAGTTGTCTCATGTTTCCTTCTCTTGCAGCCTTTTCCGCCGTCGTTGCTAAATCTTCCACATATTTACGTTTGTCGGTTCTGATGCTCCTCTTCACTTGTTTGTTTACTTCTGTGTATTCAGCTTGTGCCTTGGCTTTTTCTGCTCTTGTTCGACTGGTATTGATTGCTGCCTTCTTGTTCCT